AACTCACTATGTAGACAAGGGTGACCTTAGCTAGAAATCTTCCTGCTTCTGTCTCCCAAGTGCTGTAGTTACAGGCATGTTTCACTACACTGTTTTATGTGACACTGAGGATGGAACCCAGGGATTTATGCATGCATGGTAGACAAGCACTTTACCAACTGAGCTACAGCCCTAGCCCTTGCAGGGATTGTTCTTAGCTGCATGTTGAGGCCACTCATACACTGTCAGGATGCTCAGCAGTACACTTTCCTTGTACAGGTGAGATACCTTCCCCTTTGCATAACCCCTAGAAAATGGACCTGGCTTCTATCTGGCTGGCCTGGGTCATAGTCCAGAATAAAATAAACACAGGGCCACATTGACCACAGCACAGCATCTACTCATGGTTAAACTTGTCCTGTCCAAAGGACATGAGCACTCCCTGACATAGCACAGATGCCAGGGCTTCAAATGGCTTGATCTTGGGCTAATGCTTACTGCCCAGTTTTTAGTACATGAGGGTGGGAATTGGACATTACCTGTAGGAACCTTTTCTGGAGGCCTCATGGGCTTGCACATTTTCACGGTCAGGGGAATGGACTCAAAGTACATGGGGCCCTTGTCAATAAGGGGTCTCTGCTTCTCTGATTTTTAAGCACCTTTTTTTTCTTTCCTGGTATGGTGTAGCCAGGCAACAAAGGCTCAATAGAGTTCCCAGTCCCCCACACTGAGGCTAAGGACACCCTTGCTTGTATCTACCTGTTCCTTGTAGAACTTCAGCTTTGCTCTTGCTGCCAAATACTTAAAGCTGGTTGAGGTTTTACAGAGAGCATCCCCAAGGATTCGAGGGGGGAGCAGAGGAGCCTTCTCTAGCCAACAGGAAACAATGTCCTGGCAAAATAGCAGAGGCTTCCACTCTCCTCTGGAGGCCTGTTCTACTCATAGTGCCTAGAGTCAACTCCAAGAGTTTGGAAATACTCACAGCCCTCCAGGAGGAGAGGCCCTTTAAGAAAACCTTTGGCAGGGCCCTTATTTCTTATAACTGAGAGTTGGTATCAACCGTTTTTTGGTTTGTTTATTTTTGTTTGGTTGGTTTGTTTTTGTTTTTGAAGACAGGGTTTCTGAGTAACCCTGGCTGTCCTGGAACTCAATCTGTAGACCAGGCTGGCCTTGAACTCAGAGATCCAGCTGCCTCTGCCTCCCGAGTGCTGAGATTAACAGTGTGTGCCACCACTGTCCATGTGGTATCAACCTTTTGTTTAGGATTTGGAACCACTCCAATAGGATTGGAACCCTCCAATAGTGATTCCTGCACTGGAACCATGCCCCTGAAGACTCTCTTGATGACTAGGGCATGACTTGTTTCTGAGGTCAAGGGACAAATCTTTTGAGTCAGCACAGACTTTCCCAAAAGACACAAAGTGACTAGAACCTCAATGTAGACTTAAACAGTTTCCAGCCCAGGCCACCACCCACTGGGTTCAGGTTCCCAAGCAAAAACGTAGCTGTGAGGAGAGGGCCACTAACAGTCACCTCTCCACACTGCACTCTAGGCCCCTTCTCTCTGACCCACAGCAGTGAGAAGAAATGGGCAAGGAAGTGGCCCTTCTGAAGCGACCCTCTGAAGCTGGCCAGGGTGTCTTACTTTGGGAGTGGCTACAACTTTTGAAGTATTTATTCCTGATCACTGCATCTTAGGAAACCCCGAAAGGTTCACACTGGGAGTTCCCCCACCTGCCGATCATAACCTTTGGGCCTGCTTATGCCTCTGGTGTGTCATCTGTCTGAGCTATTCCTTGGGCTACAGAACGGGTCAGTGGTGGGCACACACCCCCATGGCTTCTCCCTCTAGCCTTCCTATGACCAGCAAGTTGCTTTTGTTACCCAACATTGGCTTTCTTAACTGTACTAAACTGGGTTAGCACCTGTCTTCAAATTCAGGTCAAACAGGACTATGCTGGTGGGTGCCCAACAAGATCATGTGTTGTGTCATTGAACATCCACATAACCTTCTGTGAAATAGCAAAGGTTAGCTGTAAGTAAACCGACCATTCTCCCTTTTTTTCCCACCTGCTCCTCTCACCCAAAGCCACACTCTATATAATTAGCCCTTCCTATAAAATCTGGTGGCCTTGGATAGCCAGGAGGGAGCAGGCCAGAGGCTGAAGACAGGAGTTGTGAAGCCCCATGGCTGCCCTGCCCACTGAAACAAACACACACCTCAGACTAACAACTTTAAATGTTCATGAGCATCCACTTTATGTTATGTATCATATGACCACAGTGAGGAAAATACACCCTCAAGGCAGATACCATGGCAGACACTCAAGTCTCTCTACCATGGAAGAACTCAGGATAGGAAGTTCCACACAAGGGGATGATGCTGTTTCCCTTCAACGAAGGAGTGTCCTCTGTGTCACTCTCTCTCTATTCTGCCTTTGGAGTCCATTTTGAAAACCTAAAACCATGCCTTTATTATTCCCACAAAGGACAGAAATCTTACAGACAAAACAGTACCTTTTTTCACTAGGCCTATGTCAGCTACTCTCCACCTACCTTGTCCTTTTTCTCTTCCCAGGCCTTCAACACTCTGGCAGACCAGAATCCTAAGTATTATTAAATGACCAAACCAGACATATTTTAAAAGCCAATAATCCCATGCCAACTGAATAAATGGAACCACCCAGACTTTTAAGACTGGCTGGGACTCACCCTGAATTTGTTTGTGACTCATTCATTCATGTTGAATGTGTGTTTGGTCTTAGCCCTTGATAAAAAAAAAAACTCATCCAATTTGCTGGGAGATTTCCTTACTAACGACACGTGTATTCTCTGCTTAAAACCCATAGGCGAGGAAACGAGGCCTCCTTTGTTCCTTCCAGGAGGGCTGGAGGACGTAGAGTTATTGAAAACACAGATGGTTCTGAAGAAGAAATGGACGCTCGGGACTCAGACTTCAATGGAACCAAAGCCAGTGAATAAATTCAGAATTATACACCATGGCAGGGAAAACAAAACACTAAAGACAGCAGAACCCAGCAGACTCTGCCGCAGACATCACTCCATCCTTCACCATGACTCAACCCCACAGCCCTACACAAAGGGTGTGAATTCAGGTTTTAGGATGTGCTATCAAACAAAACCCAAATAAGAGATGCAGGCCAGACCTTGCATTCCGTGGGATGCAAAGATAGGTTTTAGGAAAATAGCCACAGTCACCAGTCACCAGCAACTTTGTTTACATGAAATGAGTCAATTACCTAAATGGGTACCACTGCCCCCAGCCCACTCCCAAATCATTCCCTGACCACTCCAGTTAGGGAGGAAAGCCCTTGTTTGAAAATTCCCCTCTCCTCTGGCTGCCACACCTCAGACACACACACACACAGTTCACCAAGACCAAGTGACTATTTTTGTCATGTGAATTAAAAAGGAAACACTGCTCCAAGGGCTGAAAACAGAGAGATCACACTGTCTTATTGCACCCAGGTTGTACCCATGGACACTTTCACTAATAAAAGGTTATAAGTCACGAGAATGGAGTTGGCTCTTCTGTCAAGCTGTTGTCTTTTGCAGGATGGGGCAGGACATTCTTATTTAATCCTCTCAGTGACCCTATGAACTTTTTATTTCTTTCATAAACTGAGGAAACAATCATGGACATACAACATGCCTGACTGGGCATGAGCAGCTGGAAGGTTGTGTACCAGGCTGTGTAACTGAGGTACTAAGGAGAGCATTTTACAACCAAACCTGTCTCTGTACTGGTTGAGTATCTAGTCTGAAAATCCAAATGTCCCAAAAACCTTTGAAGACTCTTATCCACCAACACTGGAAAATCCCAAATGGAATGGGCCATAATCAAAACCCAGACACACTAAAATTACTGTATAAAATTACCTTCAGGCATCAGGTACAGGGGAGTTATGCCTGTACTCCCAGGACTTAGGAGGGGGAGGTAGAAGGATTGAAAACTTAAGGCCAGCCTGGGCTACATAGTTCTGGGATGACATGATCTATATAATGAGATCCTGTCTCAAATACATAAAGACAGCTGTACTCTGGACATCACATGAGTGTTGCCATACACTCATAGAAGTGTTATGGCTCACACACAATGGACTTAAAAATAAATATTTCAGACTTGCAGGCTACATCTGCCTCTAAAACACATTCATCTTCAAGCAGATCTGTTTAAAAAAATAAAATAAAAACCCAAACACCTAGGCATGGTGGCCCATGGAAGGCTGAGGCAGGGATGACCATAAGTCCAAAGCTATCTCACCCCACCCCCAGTAACCATTTAAGAAACTGTTCTTAGCATGAAGACCCTATAGAAGCAGGCCAGGGCCCTTTAATTCCCAATTATAGCACTATAGGCAGACATGCTCTGCAAAAGTTCTAGTCCATACAAACTTTTCCAAAGCCCAACTCAATAGGGTAAAAGAAAAGAAAAAAATGAGACAGAGAATACGGATACTGAAAAAGCCAATCCTTCTACCAAATGCTAATATAACTGGAATGACATACAAACATTTCCCCCAAATAGCTGCGGAAAAGCTGACTTCAATAGAAAATTTTAAAGAACAGATTCAGTGTGAACAGATTGAGCATGAGGTCCTAACTACTCTTAGTACCCACATAAAAGCTGGGCAAGATGGTATACTTCTGTAACCCTACCCTGCAGGGCAGAGAAAAGGAGATTCTTTGAGCTTGTTAGATGAACTTGAGTTTAGTAAGAGACCTTACCTCAAAAATAAGACACCAAACATTGACCTCTGTGCACACATGTGTCCCACACACTCACCCAAACACCTACATACACCACCCATACAACTGAGGAAGATACCAGATGCTGACCTGTGATCCCCATACATGTGCACACACGTGTCCCCAAATCCACACAAGCAACTACATATACCCACACACAAAACACTTATCCCATTATTTTATTACTTGGCTAAACAAACAAACAAAAAAAAACAACTAACTTCAGGGCCATGGAAGAACCAAACACAACAGCAAGGCAGGCATTTTTTTTTATTATTTTTTTTAATATAAAAAATAAAGTCCATCTTTTTCCAGATTAGAATGTGTGAGTGGAACAAATAGCCACAGAGCTTAAAACCACTTTGTGAATATCAGTAGCACTCAAAGTTCTAGGTCCAATTCAAGGCCAGTTTTGCCCCATCTACTAGAAAATAAGTTAGTAGCAAAGTGAAGGCCGCTAAGCTCTGGAAATTAGTGTGTGATTGCTTCTCACTGCTTCTCACCAAGCATGAGGCAGTGCTTCACCCCACACCAGACAGAGTCTGGCATTGCAGTTCCTGTGCTGATTTCTCCACATCCCAAGGGAGAGTCCGCCAGCGATCTCAATCTGATGTTTTAGTCACTCTGGTTATTCTATGGTGTCTGGATGAAGTCTTGTTCTTAGAGATGGCATAAAAAAGGCCAGTCCAACTCTGAGTTGTCATGATGCAGAAGTCACTCCAACATTAGTGCAAGGGACTCAGGAAAGATAGGAGGCAGGGTTTATCTACAGAGGATAATCTCCCACTGACCTAAGAGTCAGACACACCTCTAAAATCCTGAGGCAGATTAAAAGTGTCAAAGGGCTGGGCAGTGGTGACATACATCTTTAATCCCAATACTTGGGAGGCAGAGGCAGGCAGATTTTTAAGTTCAAGGCCAGCCTGGTCTACATAGCAAGTTCCAGGACAGCCAGGACAGAGAAAGGTGGCAAAAGTACACAACCATAGTTTAAAACAGCCCTATGCCTCTGTAATCTCCCAGTCCTAGACACAATTTAATCATGCTGTAAAAGCACTGGCAGAATGTTCCAGAAGACAGCTTCAGTTGGAACAGGCTGCAGAGGAGAGCTCCTGTGCTGGGCTCTAGTGCCCCTGAAGAATATTATGCATATTCAAAACACCTCTGGAGGCCATTAAAACTCTAGGTAGCCAATGACAGGGTAGCCCCATCATCCATACCTTAGAACTGCCTGCTCTGGGGGGTGGGGTGGGGAGAACACCAGCTCATTTCTATGGCACACACACTGCCAGGGACTGGACACATTACGGGGATGACGCTGAGCCTATGGCCAACAGCCTTAGTCAGCCTAGGCTGCACAGCACACAGTGAACGCTGGTGATGCTGGCCTTGTTTCTCAAATTAACTTGGAAATTCAACAACCAGAAGCTGAATGTAGGGGGTGAGACAGCAAGACAGCTGAGGGCACAGCTCCCACTGGTCCTAAAGCAAAAGCTTGACCACATCCTGGGTGGATGGCAGCGCTGGTGAGGAGAGCTGCGGGGCCGGCTTCCCAAACTCCAAGCGTTTTCCTGACCTTCAGACAGAGCAAACCATATTTAACAGAGAGACAGCAGTACCCCAGTGCCTAGCACAGAGCCCCAGGGTTCAAGGAGTGAATGTCAAGAACGGGAACAAGTCTCACAGGGTCTCAATTTTCTCTCCTGTGAAATGAAGAAAAGGATACTGGCTATCTGGTTCCCTGATTCCAAAGGCTGCAGAAAAGCCCTCAATCTCAGAAGACAGTACAAAAGTGTCACATATCACTTCTTGGTCATTTCATTCAGAGTGGGGAGTGCTTAGAGTTGAACCCAGGGACTTATGTCTACTGAGCAACATTCCCAGCTCCTTGAATTAAAAAAAAAAAAATTAAGGGGCTGGAGAGATGGCTTAGAGGTTAAGAGCACTGGCTGCTCTTCCAGAGGTCCTGAGTTCAATTCCCAGCAACCACATGGTGGCTCACAACCATCTGCAATGAGATCTGGTACCCTCTTCTGGCCTGCAGGCATACAGGCAGGCAGAACACTGTATACATAATAAATAAATAAATCTTTAAAAAAAAAAATTAAGGTTGAAGAGATGGCTCACCAGGTAAAGATGTTTGTTGCTTAGCCTAAAAATCTGAGTTCAATCCCAGAATCCACACAGTAAAAAGAACTGACTTTTTCAAGTTGTCCTCTGACCTTTACACGTACACTATGGAAAACACACTTGGGCACATGTGTGTATTCACACACACAATAAATATAATTTAAAAAAAATTTATTTTAAATAAAAATTTTGACTGGGCATGGTGTTATGTATGCCTTTAATCCTAGCACACAGGAGATAGAGACCAGCACCTCTTTGGTCTGCACAGCCCTTCAAGCCCCAGGCCAGCCAAGGCTACACAGTGAGGCCTGGTTGTAAAAATAAATAAATACACTTAAAAACCAGTGTTTAAAGGTCCAGAAGCTAAGTGTGCACCATGGATCAATTCATTTCCCTGTGTGCCTGCCTCACATCTGTCAGACTGACATGGCGTGGGGCCCAGGGCAATGCATGCTTCTTTTGGTGAATTCCTAGCTCTAGAGGCCACTATGGGCTTCCCTTAGGCAAGAAAATAAAAGAAGTATTGGCAGTCAGTTCTGTCTCCCATTCCTGTGGCTGTTTTCAGGATCTGGTCCAACTGGACTGACTCAGTCCATTTAGTTTCTTGAAGGTTCTACAGATTTAAAAACAAAGGCTGGGCAACAGCTCAGGTGGCAAAACCCTGCAGCAGACCTGAGTTTGATCCTCAAGACCGATGTAAAAAACCAAGCATGGTGGCTCATGCCTTTGATCTCAGCACTGAGGAAGCAGAGGCAGGTGGATCCCTGGGGCTTAGTTGCCTACTTGATGAGTTCCACGCCAGTCAGACTCTGTCTCAAAAATCAAGGTAAAGCCGGGCGGTGGTAGCGCACACCTTTAATCCCAGCACTCGGGAGGCAGAGGCAGGTGGATCTCTGTGAGTTCAAGGCCAGCCTGGTCTACAGAGCAAGACCCAGGAAAG